CTATTTAACTAATTTATTTTTCAGTATATTTTAAAATTAGTTTTATACTATTATAGTATTTATTATTTTTTTTAATTAGATTTAATATTTTTTTTGCCTAAGTATTATTTTTTTAGCTTAGTTTAGTTTTAGTAATTTTGTTATGTGCTATTTTATGTTTAGTTTTAATTTATTTTCCAGTTTTAGTACTTTAACACCAACATATTTTATTATTTATTATTATATTGTGAATTATCTTTTGATTTTATAGTTTTAGTTTTCATTTTCATTTTAGTTTTAGTAATTTTATGCGCTTTTATGTTTATTGCTTTTTGGTGATTTATTTTTAATTTTTATTTAGCTTTGTATTTATTTTAAATATAGTACTTTTAAATTAATTAATTTTAGTATTGTTTATATACCATTATACTATTTAGTATAGTAATTTTGATATTTGCTTTTGTTTATTAGCTTTTGATTTTTTTTATATTACCATTTATCTTTATTTTTTGTTTCAGTTTTAGTCATTTTAGTACTTCAGATTAAACTTCAATTAAAATCAGCAGCACATATTGCCTTTGCATAAACAGCTATGTGCCAGTGCTTCAATGTTCACGTTGTTTCAAACCACTACTAATTATGAGCACTTGTAATAATGATTTTTACTTAGCAACAGCACTAATGATATTGTGGCTCAGTGAGATTACACTTAATGAATTTACAACAGCAATAAAGAGTTTTAATTGTCTGCAATGCCACAATACATGGATGTATAACTTGTAATGTGTTGGTTATGTTACAGTATGAAGAAATAAATACAGAATGCTTGTGGTTAGATGATGAAATTTGAGTCTTGAGTGAGTCACAGTCGTCTGTTTGACATTGAGTCTGACCTGCAGCACATATTATATCACTACTGCTGCTTTCTGGTGAGGAATAACCTATACCTCATATAAATATCAGAAAGACAATATTTTTCCTTCTCTCAGTTGGCCTTCCCTCATTTGCATCTGTGGTTGTTTGATTAGTCTTTCCCTGCTGGAAAACAGGAGGTGGATCAACATTACACTCTTCGGCTCGCACTCCTGTGGCTTTTTTTTAATTTTCACCTTAGCTCAGGCCAGACAGAACAACACCTTACCTTAAATTTTAGCCGAGAGAGAGAGAGAACAAGAAGAATGTGGGTGGGTTTTTGAAGAAGAGATACAAACTGTACGGAGGCAGCGAGACAAAAATGAAATTGCAGAACATGAATACTGCAATTATATTGAAATGATTTAGATAATATAGTTCCTAACTGGTGGGTAGCAGCCTGCTGATGGAAGAGAAACCATTTTCCTTATCTTTTCCATGCAATCCCTGTGGGATTTTGGCAGGAATTTTGCAGTTAATTGTATATTTCAGTGTTTGGTCTAAGGGCATTTTTGGGCATGTCCAAAGTGAAGTCTGGGACCTGATATAAATTATATTGATGCATATGCTGTATGGTGAACACAAAATGTCCATTGACTTTTTTTTTTTTTTTTTGCTGAAGATGGTGAAACTACAAAATGCCTCAAAACGTTAAGCAAGGTTTATAATAATTGGCTAGACTTTAAACTCACATCTGATTGACTGAAGAGAACATAAGTGATAATTTGTAAACTGGTTCTTGAAAAGAAAGTCTCAAAATAGTCACAAATCCACACAACAAATGCCATTGTAGATTCAAAAAACTTTTGTACCTGAAACATTCAGAAATGTGCAACCATACTTTTGTGTTTATGAATGGTGCTTTGCATTTGTCTTATTTTGAGTCCTATTTTGTAAAAGTACATTTGCTTGTGCATTTTCAAATTGTACAGTATATTGGGAGTTTGTGAATTGCTAAATTTGGTTAATAAGATCTGTGTTTGCAAAAATATAAACTTTATGAATACAAATTAGCATTGCATTTGTAAAACATATTTTGTAAATATATTCATTTTAGCTCCTTAATGTAATGCTGATAGTTCAACAAATATCCACTTTTTAATCATCATGAAGATCATGGTGCAGGTTGACAATGACTTCTTGAAAGGATGACGGTGTCATTATAGTGTTTTTTGACCAATTTATGGGATAATTAAGTATTTTAGAAAGGGAAATCTGATCATAACGGTATTTCTGTTTTATACTGTGCCTATTTACTAAAATGACAAATGGAAACAAGCTGAAAATAACATCCTTATGAAAAATAGAAAAAAAATAAAAATAAATGAAAAAAACACAAAGTTGCTAAATTTTGTTTAGAAAAATGTATAAACATAGCACAAGCTGCATCAGCTGCTCATTATTAAAGTTATTTTTTACACACTAACGGCGCTCGTTTTGTAGAATGACCCAGTTCACGATAATCAAATCTTTCAGGTTGTATAAGCTGCAGCACTCCGGTGTCCCTCCAGACAGAAATAAGCTCCTGACTCAGATATTATTCTTTATAATAGTCTAAGGACTGAGACAAACACACATTTCCTGCTCCATAAACAAGACCGCGGTCATTCCTGCTTGCGCCGTATATCTATATATCGTTACTAGTTAGACTCATGCAGCGCCAGCATGCTTTTTGCTGAGACTTATAGCTGATGCGGTGTGTTTGTATCGGCCCCTGGTGTTCCCCTGGTGTTCGGCTGCTCGTTTTTGTCCTACGAGTCAAATAACTCTGAATTGCTGAAGGAAAGGAGGTGTTTGCCTGTGCAAAAGTTACCATAATGACGTTAGGGTGTTTTGGCACTGCCAGCCCAACTAACAAAAATATGGTCTAAGAATGTTTTGCTAATATTACCATTAAGGTTTTTAAAACATTACTTCTGAATGTTCAAAAGATTCAGTTTTTAGAAATTGTTTTCACTCATGTGAATGTTAAGTGAACATTTCATTTGATTATTTTGCAAACATCATGGTAATGTTACTTTTGAATGTTCCCTGAATGTTTTGAAACAAGTAATAACATTTAAAAAATGTTAGATGAATACAACTTAAGTACTGCAGAAAAAAAAAACATTATTTTTCGTTCCTTTGTTTTTGTGCTAATGTCTTGAGAGTATTAAAGACCAGAACATTTTGAACAAACATTCTCTGAACATTAATTTGTAACCTTGTCAGAACGTTCCCTGTTAGCTGGGAGGGCATTGATAAGCGATTGCTACAGGAGTTCAAATAAGTTGTTAACATGTTGCAATGCTGTAGATGCCACTCTACTTTTCTAAAGTCTCTATGATTTTAGTCTTCTTCAAAGTGTTTTTTTTTTTACTCTGGTGAAAACTGTCCAGTTGAGAAGTGCTATATGCTATTGTTTAAGGTTGTGGTATTGTTTATGACTTAAGGTTTAATTCATGTTGGTAGCACAAACTTTTGCAGTTCATGTTATGTGAAGTAAAAATATGAAGTATCAAAACTGTTTTCAACATTGATAATAATAAATGTTTCTTGAGCAGCAAATCAGATTAGAATATTAGAATGATTTCTGAAGGATCATGTGACACTGAAGACTGGAGTAATGATGCTGAAAATTCAGCTTTGCATTACAGAAATAAATTACATTTTAAAATGTATTCAGATAGAAAAAAGTTATTTTAAGTGATAATATTTCACAATTTTACAGTATTAAAAAAAAAAAAAACAACAACTTTGTGAATTCTTTCACAAAGATCCAACCAGTATTGTATGTATCCGAGTTTAATACTTAAAGCTATAGTTTACCAAAAATGAAAATTCTGTCATCATTTACTCAGCCTCGAGTTATTCCAAATCTGTATGAGTTTCTTTCTTCTGCTGAACACAAAAAAAATATATTTTAAAGAATATGGGTAACCAAAAAGTTGATGGTCCCTATTGACTTCCATAGTATGAAAAAAACATACTATGGAAGTCAATGGGGACCATCAATTTATTTATGCTTAGAAGAAGAAAAACATTCATACAGGTTTAGAGCAAATTGACAAACAACAACAACAAATTCTCATTTTTGGAACTATACCTTTAAAGGGAAAAATTCTGTCATTAATTACTCACCCTCATGTCGTTCTAAATCCGTAAGACCTCCGTTCATCTTCGGAACACAAATTAAGATATTTTTGATGAACTCTGAGAGCACTCTGACCCTCCATAGACAGCAAGTGTCCTTACACGATCAACACCCAGAAACGTAGCAAGGAGCTTGGTAAAATAATCCATGTGACATCAGGGGTTCAACCGTAATTTTACGAAGCTATGAAAATACTTTTTGTGCACAAAGAAAACAAAAATAACGACTTTATTCAACAATTCGTCTCCTCCGCGTCACCCTGGCACCATTTTGGAGAGTATCACATACGTAAACAAAGTATGCTGTTCTGTGTCAGCTGTGCCACGCAGATACGCTGTTTTCGTTCAAATCAAAGCGTAAACAACATAAACAGCGTATCTGCAGACAAATTGTTGAATAAAGTCATTATTTTTGTTTTCTTTGCGCACAAAAAGTATTTTCATAGCTTCGTAAAATTACGGTTGAACCCCTGATGTCACATGGATTATTTTACCAATCTCCTCGCTACGTTTCTGCACCTTGATCGTGGTAATTACATTGCTGTCTATGGGAGGATCAGAGAACTCTCAGAATTCATCAAAAATATCTTTATTTGTGTTCCGAGGATGAACGAAGGTCTTATGGGTTTGGAACGACATGAGGGTGAGTAATTAATGACAGAATTTTCATTTTTGGGTGAACTATCCCTTTAAGGTTTGGGGTTTGTTAAAAAATAATAGTGTTGCTGGACGTAAATGTGGATGAAAGTAGTTTTGATTAGTACAGATTCTCCTGCTTTTTTGTTACGTTTGCATTACAGAGGATCGTTTGGAAATTTTTAATTTCGTCACGAGGTGTGACAATGGGATAAACCCCTCCGTTTTGTTTTGTCTTCAGTATCATCAGTCTTAAAATGCATCTAATGTTCTCCTCAGATCAGCAGAAGAGATACGAAGCCTCCTCCTCTGTGACCTTTCCTCCCGTTTCTCCCCTACAGACAGATCGTCAGTATGACGCCCACCAGGCCCACCGCTCCTCAAAGCCGCCCAAGGACTCCTACCTGGTGGAGCAGGTGTTCAGCCCACACCACCTCCCTCCCGCCGTCAAGTCTCACGTGAAGGGCAGCCCTCTCTACACGGACCTGCGGCTGACCGGCCTCGCCGATGGCAAGCGCTCCCAGCCCTCCTGGACCATCGAAGAGTACAAACGCAACTCAGGAGACAAGAACAAGCTCAGCGCTCTGGACCTGCAGGTGAGAGGCCACCTCGCTGTGATTGCAACCTTGCCAATCTTGTCGATTTTCTCTGTTCTTTGAGGCTTTGCTGTGTGTGGGATTAGCTTCAAAAGCTGAGGCTCATGGGAATGACGGCTTCGATTTTCTTTCAATCAGTGCTTCTCTGCCACATGCCGGCGGTGTGGCTGAAGGTCATCAGTGCAGTAGGTGACCTTGTGTGCTGTGAAATATTCACGATCCTTATTAAAATCACTCATTGTTGACAGTCATTGGCTCAGTGCAATTACTGCAGGTCCTTGGCTTCGTTTCAATGCCAACATGAAATGCTGTTCGCAACCCAATTTGCTTCTGGAATCGGAAGTATTTCTGAGTGAAACTGCATGTTTGATGAGAATAAATGTAGTATGCAATATGATTGCATTTTGATTTTTATTAATTATTTCAGTGAGTCAGTTGATCCAGTTTGAATGATTTGTTTACAATTTTGGATTGAATCAATTGGAGAGGTTCTTGAGTCAATGACTCAGTGACTCATTTAACTGAGGAACATTTAATATGGAAATGAGGTCATTTGTTTATGTGGATGATTTTGAGATATTTTGAAAAGCATGTAATTTTTAAGTTTTAATTAGTTTCGCCATTTTGTTGCATGGAAAGGAAAACGTTTCACTGACCTTGATTTCTCATGAGGAGCGAGAGAAGGTTAAAACGCTACTTCTTGTGTTCAGTCTTAAAACATCCTAAAATACGGTTTGCAACCAAATTTGTTTCTGAAATCTGACGTATTTCTGAGTGAAACTGGATGTTCAATGAGCAAAAAAAAAAAAGTAGGCCAGGATTTAATTGCATTGTCCAAAAAATAAAATAAAATAAACTAAGTATTTCATTTAATCAGTAGAATGATTCAGTTGTTCATTAATTGGACTGAATCAGTCAGAGGTTCTTGAGTCAATAAATGACTGACTCATTTAACATAGAGCCGTTTAATATGGACATTTGTTTGTGACAAAAATGTTTTTATTATATTTATCATATAGGTGAATAATAGAGATTACATTATATATGACATGTAAATCAAATTAAATGTGTTCAAAAGAGCTGATGCAACACAAATTACAAGAAATTGCAGTAAAAATCCTTATTACAAATTATATACAGTAATTTGGATATACATATGGCTTTAGTGCAATATTTTATAGGGACAGAAAGAACAACACTATCTCACGACCAATCCGTACGTATTTTACGAGGTGGCTAATTCGTACGAATTCGTACAACCTCACTCGTACGATTTTGTATGATTTGCCTAGACCCCAGTGACGGGTAGGTTTAGGGGCGGGGTTAGGTCTAGGTAATTCATACAAATTCATACGAATTGTGCCACTCGTAAAATACGTACGATTTAGCAAAAATCTAATAAATTTGTACGAGTGAGGTCGTACGAATTCGTACGAATTAGCCACCACGTAAAATATGTACGAATTGCTGTGAGATCAGGTTGGAAAGAATCACTGAATTGTTTACTGAAAGATTTATCCATTAACCCTAAGATTAAACAACTTGTTCAAAACTGGATTTAATCAGTCTGAGAGTTCATTTAATTAAGAATGCGTCACGTTATTCTGCTGGTGTGCCCTAGTTGGCCACCAGAGGACACTGTGTTTTGTGAGAGCACATGGCTTGTTGTATGTTTGTTGGTGCCATGTGCTCTCCCGTCTCATTGTCTGACCCCGCCCTTCTTGTTATCTCATTATTGTTTCAGTTGCTCCACCTCCTCTGTCTCCCTCATTACCCTCATCGTTTGTCTCCCTATTTATTCTCCTTGTGTCTGCAGTCCTGTGCTGATCCGTTGTTATCTGTCAGAAGTAACTGTTGTATGTGTGGTATGTACCTGCTGCTGTATTCTGCTATGCTTTGCTGTGCCTTGTTCCTGGCCTGCCTGCCTGTTTTTCCTCCTCGGGGTAGTTTTTGTTCGTTTTATTTTATTATTAAAAAGAACCATTCTTCCTGCAGCTTGAGTCCTCGCCTCATCTCTCGTCCAGGACCATGACAGAATGGTTAAATATGGAAATTTATTACAGCTATTTACAAACATTTATTTTATTAAAACAAGCAAAAAATGTTTTAGGTGAATAACTGAAATTAAATTATGTATAAGATATAAATGCTAATTATGTTTTTCTGAGCTGATTCATGACAGAAACATATGTAGGCGGCAACATATATAAAAACATAACATATAGGAATTTCAGTGTACATATGGCTTTACTGGAACATTTTAGTGGGATTTTGTAATATGAATCACTAAAATAATCACTGAATTGTTTTCTGAAAGATTAATTCAGACACATGACTGATCAATTTGTTTATAGAGACAACTCAGTGACTCATTTAACTATCATTTACAGCTTTTTACAAATGCATTTTATTAACCTTTTAGGCATATTATTTAAATGGATTTTAGTATTGTTTAATGTAAATGCAAATAAGTTGAAGTTGTTATGATTCATTAGTAGCCTACTGCTACAACAAAATTAACTGTGGCATAAGCAGTTGCAAAAAGCATTCTCATAATAAAACTTAATAAAGCAAGCAATATAACTTTATAGGAGTGTTTTAGTGAGTATGAGAGAGGCATGTACGCCATGATGAAACGTAAAAGAATCACTGAATTGTTTTCTGAACCAATCTGTTGACACGAACAAAGGATTCACAGAAATTAATCAGTCCTTATATAAAGGTGAAAAGTTGGTGTTTTAATTGGTATCAACAAGAACAAGTTGTTGAAAGTTGAAAATGCATGAGGGATTTTGATCCTTTGTGTTTCGATAAAAAATTACAAAAACCGGGAGCATGTATTAAAGTAAAAAGGGTCTTACGTTGGCTATAAAATCATCTGTTGTGCGCTTGTTTTAGATGAAGGCTTACAGTTGTCTGTATCAGACGATGTTTATCTGTCTTCGCTATCTCCAGACATAATCGTGTGCTATTGATAGAGGACGGCTCGCAATAAAAAGGCTTTAGTGTAGGAGACAGCACTCAGCAAGCTTCTTTCATTCAATAGCATAATCTACGCCGTATTTTATTGACTCTCTCCCTATGGTTTTGAATGGACAAAACCAAGTGATGGCTTTAAAACTAGCTGTTCTTGTACTGAACAAAGTAAAAAAGTAAGATGGAACAGAAAAAGAAATCACTGACCTCTTCGGTGGCTGGTGCAATTTTAAAATGTGCCCTACATCTTTGCATCAGATCTGTGTTACATGTTCACCCCAATGCATGGAAATGTGGCTCGAAGCAGGGGAGCATCTCTCATTTTGCCCATTTGCAAGGGCTGTAGGTTTTCTGAAGGCCTGCTTACCCAACCATAGCATGAGAGGAGCAGAAAAAAGACAGAACGCAGCTTGAGCAATGCCACGTACCAGTGATTCTTAGTGACCCAGCACAGCGCATTCGAACCTTGAACAAAAGATGAGGCTGACAAGGCAAAGAGTTTTTTGGATTTGTGCAGCAAGGATGCAATTGTACAAAAACTATAATATTTGTATTTGCATAAAATTCTATTCACAATTATTTATTTATTTTACAGATGCCTGCCACATATTGGATATTGTTGCAAGCATTAAAAACATTAAAAAATTAATTAAATCAATATCTTTAGTATTACTATAATTTATGTATGTGTTTATTTAATAAATGTATTAATATTAGTATTAAAATAAAATGTAAATTAATAAATAACATAACTTGAATTATTTTTACTATTTTTTAATTTATTTATTTATTGCACATGCAAATGGGAAAGGCTTAAATAATTAAATAAATACCTTTAATATTAACATTATTTATTTATGTGATTAATATATTTAATAATGTTACTATTAAAATAAAATGTAAATGAATAAATAACATTAATATTACAGTTAATTATTTAATTATTTATTGTATACATGCAAATGTAAATGAACGAATGAATTAATGCATTTAATACTAATGTTATTTATGTATTTATTTGTTTATTTCATATATTTAATAATATCAATATTAAAATAAAAAAATACAATTAAAACAGTAATATTACAGGTATTTATTTATTTTGAAGTCTTTCACATTTGTGTGTCAAGTATCCAATGCCACAGTTCTTCTTTGTGTTCTGTTTGATTGACTTGAGCTGTGTGGGAAGCCTGACACTACAAAAAAGACTGACAAGTGTGTGTTCACAAGTACAAGTCAATTAAAAAACAGTGCGGACTGAACACAAGAACACGTCCTGTGTGAACAGCCCATTAGATGACTTAGTAAAAGTTCTGTTGCCATAGCAATTACAGAAAGGGAGATTTATAATTAATCTCAGGTTTCTCACAGGAGAGTTCGGTGCTGTTGAGGATTCATCTCTAAATATGTATTATTGGCAAAATAACATTAGTGTTTATTCCCTGGAACTTTACAAGCCAGCTCTGTTATGGTTTAATTAGTCTCTATCACTGATTGTGTTGTAAGAAAGTAGACAATGATAATGTAATAAATTATTAATATTAAATTATAGCTTTAATGGTGATCTTTATAATGTCATTTTGTTTGAATAAGGCTTGCTAATTGCACAGATTTTTTTTTTTTTTTTTTGGCTATGGTGAATTAAAGGAGCAGTTCACCCAAAATGAAAAGTCTGGCCATCCAAGATGTAGATGAGTTTGTTCCTTCATCAAAAAAGATTTGGAGACATGTAGCATTACATCACTTGCTCTGCTGTGAATGGGTGCCGTCAGAATGAGAGTCCAAACAGCTGATAAAAACATCACAATAATCCACAAGTAACCCACACCACTCCAGTCCATCAGTTAATGTCTTGTAAAACAAAAAACAGCGTGTTTATAACAAACAAATCCATCATTAAGATGTTTTTAACATCAATCTGTTGCATTTGGCCAAAATATGCGTCCAAAATCCATAATAACGCTTCCTTCATATTTGTTTATGGACTGTTTTTGCTTGCTTGTTTTTTTACTGGAGAAAGCAGCATTATGGATAGACGACTCGTATTTTAGCTGGAAGCAGTGGTTTGAAGTTAAGAACGTCTTTGTGATGGATTTGTCTCTTACAAACAAGCAGATTTTCACTTCAAAAGAAATTTCTCCAAATCTGTTCAGATGAAGAAACAAACTCATCTACATCTCGGATGGCCTAAGGGTGAGTAAAATGTTAGCACATTTTCATTTTTGTGTGAAATTATGTAGTTGACAACAAGCCAACAAGCTTGGTCACTTCAACAAATAGTGATTGCTGTTGTCCTTTTTCATGAAATTATGGAGTTTTTTCCACAAGAAAATCAGATTATCTTTCTTGCGCACTGCTGGTATTGATGTAAGATTACTCTGAGCTTATTGGAGACAGCGATGGTTAATACCTTCAGTTTGCATGAAGTTATACGTGCTCGGTTTAGCGGAGGAAAGTGTCATTGGTGATGGCATCCTGCTGCCAGTTAGCGCTGAAATGAATGCCATCTGATATTCAGAACCACCCACATGTGACAAATGGCGAAATTTAACACACTTTGCCTGGAGGATGGTTATTAGAGGCATGAAAAATGGCGGCATTGTCACAGCAGTGGCACAGAGGCAGAATGTGCTCTTGACAATAAATGGACCATTAGGTGGACATCTTATATTGACATATTGCTTAGAAAAATCATTCAGTCCCAGTTTAAGTTTGTCTTTCTTTTATTTATTTGTTTGTTTAATAACAAATCAATAAACAGCATTAATATTACAGGTATTTATTTATTTGTTTGTTTATTTTTTTTAATTTTGGATGGGCAATTTTGGACAGCTAAGTTGTTATTATTTGAGTCTGTGGTGAGGTAGTGCTACTGCTGAAAATATGCTGTTGCTGAAAAACAGATGAAAACATCACTGGTAATGTGTGTGTTGATCGCTAAAATGAATGTATTTTTACCTGTACTTTAACTGTAGGCCTGCAGCAAGCTTTCCGAGTACTCTGTCATTTACATTGGATATTTTCGAGTGACTTCTGGCTCGTTAGCTTTGACTCTGCTCGCTTGACATTAAAGTTGTTCTAATTATAAGCTAGGGACACAATTAAAGCGTAAACATTTCTGTGAATCAGTGAGCTGACCTTCTCCTGTGGAGACATTAATTTTTCCTGAAATTCCTGATAAAGCGAGCTGTTCACTTGAAAGTGTTGCCGATATCTGTTGTACTGAAATGAACCGTTACATTGATGTTTACAGTCGATCACACTTTCGCTTACGACCTTGTCATTTCTGTCTGTCCATCCTGTCTGTCTATCTATTGTTCATTCTATCTTTCATTCTATTGCTCTATTTATCATTCTATCATTCTTTTTTCATTCATTTGTTTGTTCTTTTGCACATTCTGTCTGTCTGTCTGTCTATCTATCTATCTATCTATCTATTGTTTGTTCTATTTATCATCCATTTGTTCTGTCTGTTGTTTGATTGTTAGTTTGTTCATTCTCTCTTAAAAATAAAGGTTCTTTATTGGCATCAATGGTTCCATGAAGAACCTTGAACATCAATGGAACCTTTCAAATGAAGAAAAGGTTCTTTATAGTCAAAAAAGTTTCTTTAGATTTTTAAATGTTCTTCAAAATAGTTTTTTTTTTAGGAAGGAAGGTTTGGGGAAACAAAAATTATTCTTCTACGGCATCACTGCAAAAACACCCTTTTGGAACCTTTATTTTTAAGAGCGTTGCTTCAGTCATTCTATTTATGATTCTGTCATTCTATCTCTCGTTCTGTTGTTCTGTTTATGATTCTGTGATTCTATCTCTCGTTTTGTCATTCTATGATTCTGTCCTTCTATCTATCCTTCAGTCATTGTATTTATGATTATGTCGTTCTATCATTTAAATATTCTGTCTCTCGTTCTGTAGTTCTTTCTATGATTCTGTCATTCTATCTATTGATCATTCATTCTATCTACTGTTTGATCATTCGTACCATCCATTGTTTATTCTGATCTATCATCTGTTTATTTTATCAGTCATTTGTTCCATCATTCTGTCAATCTAAAGAGCAATACTCTATCTATCATTCATTTGTCCGTTCTATCATTCGTTCTATCTATCATCTGTTCTGACATTCGTTCTATCTAATGGTCTATTGTTCTATCTTTTCTACGTATGTTCGTTATATCATTAGATCTATCTGTTGTTCTTATTTTATTGTTCTTTCTATCGTTTGTTCTGTCTATCGGTCTATCTGTCTTTGGAACATCCATTTGTTTGCTCTGACTGTCTATCATTAGTTCTATTTATTGTTCTTTTGTTTGTTCTATCATTCTTTCTGTCATATTATTTAATCTATCGTTCTGTCATTCTAGCATTCTGTCATTCCATCTGTCTGCTCTGTAAACTTCAAATTTTGTTACAGTAATATGACTAGTTATACTTCCTTAGATTCAAATTTGAATTGGAATTCTGCATCCTCTTTACTACCTCAACTCAACTCTAAATGCCATACAACTCTGATAGCAACTTACAAGAGCAACTACATAGCACGCTAAAAACTAATCAGAACCACTCAGCAACCGTATAGCAACATGCTGGCAGCCGCCCAAAACACCCAAGCATCCTGATGGTGACTTCTGCACAGACAATCCCCACTCGTGTTTTCTTCAGAAAATGTTGTTTTGTCCCCTTCAGCTGCTCTGGCTATTTTTGCCTGACTGTTTCCATCTTCCCTGCTGTCATACCTGAACATCTCTCTCTCTCAACCTGAACCGAGTGCCGTATCACGCTTTCCTCTTTCTCATTTCCCCCTCACTGGCTCACCATGTATTCAATTAAAATGGCAATTTGATGAAAAATTCCATCTCGACGGAATGTGTTGCTTCAGTAATCTGTCTGCAGTTAGCGAGGCGACTGGACGAGGGCTCCATTCATCTTCCACGGCTTTCAGTTCACAGCACAATCACGGTCCGCTCCGCACAGACGCCTTTCTTCGCAGGACCTCTCACCTTTTTCTGTTCCCCTGCAGGTCCAGGAGTCGCTCAACCCCAACAATCTGGAGTACTGGATGGAGGACATCTACACGCCGGGCTACGATTCGCTGCTCAAGCGCAAGGAGGCGGAGTTTCGCAGAGCCAAGGCGTGTAAAATCGGCGCGTTGATCGCTGCGGCCGCCTGCACTGTGATACTGGTCATCGTAGTGCCCATTTGCACCATGAAGTCTTGAGGTTTCTCTTTTTTTCTGTCGGATGGTGTTCGTTTCACTTGGACAAACATGGGACTTCATTTGCGGGGACTGTAATTAGGTCTGATTTCAGCCACCGGCCTTAGACTTTCCTGGAATGTCAATCGAAATATATCACAACAAAGAGTTAAGGATTGCAATTTGACGTGTCTTTTTTTATTTACCCTAGTCAATATTTATAACTTGACTAAATTATTTGTTATGTAGTAGATGGCCTTACTTAAAGGCTTGGAGATGCACCCTTGTTTTATAGTGCAGAATATAATGTACCGATATGTTTTATGTCTGTTTCTTTTTCTGGTATTGCAATAGAAACTAAAGGGAAAGCTTTATGTTTAAGCGCATTCTATTTTTTACTTTACTATGATTATGAGAATTTTAACGAGAGTTATTTTTCGATGAATACGCCGACAGAATGTTTTAAAGACGAGTTGGATTTATCTTTGGAAATCACTGGAGTGTTTGGGCTCGTGCAATGCCTTTTTATAAGGATTATATATTCAGATAGTGCAAATATAGTTCATGTGTGCGTTCAATAAGAACTTAAAGGAATAGTTCAGTCAAAAATGAAAGTCTGTCATTGTATATTCACCCTCATGCCGTATCGAAACTTGTGTGCTTTTCCATGGATTTTTTGTGGTTTTAATGACCATTTTCTTAAAAAAAAAAAAAAAAAAACACCATGCAAGTAGGCCTAGTCTGTATGATTTTTGCATTCAATTCTAAGTGAAAAATTTTCAGTGAATACTAATACACTAAGCAGCTCAAATGCGCAACTGATAACGAAAAAACCTGGATCTGCCCACATTTATATGCAATTTAGTGGGGAAAAATTTCAAAGTCATTTAGAATTCTTCAAAAATGGTCCTTTTGTGTTCCACAGAAAAAATAACATCATACAGGTTTGACAGAATTTTCATTTTCAGGCAAATTATTCCTTAATGTTGAAGGGTTTTGATTGTACAATGTGAGCACAGTAAAATGACTCTATTAATGATGTTTACTGATTTTGTTTGAATAGTGAAACGTGACTTTATTTCCTTCTGATTGGTTCTGTGTTAATGCCAATACAACACTTAAAAAACAATTATATCATAGTACATAGGCTATAGCTTTCTCTTTGATTGTGATTATATATACTTTGCCTTGTTATATCATAACTAATCATAATACTGTATACTTGAATTGCCAAATCACTTTCAACTAGCTCAGTTTTTCTCTGAAAGTCGAATGTTTTTCTTAAACTTATTCACCAGACCAATCTAAAATTGGACCTGACAACGGAAACCGTGAACTTACCTTAATGATGTTCACTTTTGACGCTCTTTACACCCGTTGTAGGAGTGATTCTTCTGAGAAGTCAAGCTGTAGGACCGTTGAGTGAAAACCGCCTGTTAGTCAGAAACAATATTGCACTCAGACGCTGTTCTAAAACTAATGAGCTGCATTGCTTGTCTAATGCCTACATAGTCAGCTATCTTCTAAGGCAGCATCTAGCCCTTAGTGACTGATTTGGTGCGCTCTAAATAGGCAGCAACTGTGTGTCATAGCATTCCTCATGTGAAGCACATAGGAAACTCAATTAACAATTGATTTTTAGAGTTTGACACAAGCACGTTGCTCTTTGGAACAGCCTGTGTGATGCCTTAAATGCTGTCTATGTAATCAGCTCACAAGGTTTTGGAGCAATGCCTGAGCAAAAACAGGAAACAACATTGTGCTAACAAACTGATATTTGCAGGTTTTTCTTTTATCATCAATCTGTGAATGTTATAAAGGCTAGAGTGCTGCAGGAATGACTTCAAACGAGAGCATTTTAGCATTTCCGGTTCCATCGTCCTGAGGTTTTTTTTTTTAATGGATTTTTGTTTAAATGCCTGAAATAAGGTCTATGATGAACATGAGCTCAAAATATTTACATGTTTTATTCTATGATTTAAAATGCATCAGTGAAACTTTCTATTGACAAGCTTTTACTTGTCTTAAAAGGCTATTGCTAATAAGTGTCTAAATGGGAATTGAACGTCATCACTGCAAACCAGGTCAACTGATACACTCGCTAGTCTGCTTTCACAGCCTCATTGCATTTATAATCATCTTCTTGCAAACTATTCACTCAAATTTTCCAACAGCTACATATTTAAGATTAAAAGAGTAGTCAGAAGCTAAGTGGCGGGGACGCTGACTTCATACAAACATGTTGTTTGTTTATAGCCTACAATTAGCTTTTTACTTTTGGTGATTGTATTTAGACTTTAAAATGAATAAAATCTGTGTTCATTTGTTAAGATCTTGATGAACAAAATGTGTAAGAACTTTTGTTGGTCACAGAGCTTGTTTTCTGCAATAATCCAAAAGACAATGGAAAAAAATCCCAATGGGTTTTTGTTGAGGGAACCAGGGTGATGCAAACTTCTGGGTTGGACTACAAAAATCATCCCTGCAGCACTTTATGACCACAGCTGATCACATAACAGTGCATTTCTTTCCCCTTAACCAAAACCAATGGGCTGTCTTTATAGCCTGGTTCCATGAAACTTAAAGGTAAAGTGTGTAATTTTTTATGTTAATAGACTTTATCTTATATTAATGAAAAAGTTCACCCAAAAATGAACATTTACTCACTCTCAGGCCATCCAAGATGTAGATGAGTTTATTTCTTCATCAGAACATTTTTGGAGAAATTTCGCATTACATCACTTGCTCAGCAATGAATCCTCTGCAGTGAATGGGTGCCGTCAGAATGAGAGTCCAAAAAAAAAAAAACATCACAATAATCCACACCACTCCAGTCCATCAATTAACATCTTGTGAAGTGAAAAGCTGTGTTTTTGGCCTGAGGATGAATGCATTTTTAGGAAATTTTCATTTTTATGTAAACTTTTCCTTGAACTAGAACTAGAATTAAACCATTTGTAGATTGATTGCCCCGAAATGTACACAAGGGGCAGTAGGAGTGTTTAGGAAACCTGTTTGGTACCACTAGTGCCATAGAAATAACACACTTCACCTTTAAGAGAAATTTAATTTGCCCGCAAGAATGACATTAATAGAATGATCCTTTCCACATGTGACTTTCCACAACTACTACTTTTGATCTTACATTTGTTCCTGAGAGATCTGCAACAGCATTATTTTCTGACAGATTTTGAAGTATATACATTTATATCCCTATTACCGCTGTAGTTTTGCAGTGTAATATTCAGAAACATACAGGAGTAATTCACCAAATAATAAAGTTTCTGGTATTTATTTGCTCACCTTATGTCAATCCAAATCATATGCTGATATTTTCTCAATACAACAGGAAAATTATGAAATGATGTGATATTATTGTGTGAGAATAACAGCATATGGGTTTGTAATGGCATGAGGTTTGAGTAAATAAGGACTTGAACTCATGCTTTTTGGTGAACTATTCCGTTAACTGACCTGATCAGTAATTAGGGCATTTGAATGTGACTTTTTCTTTGATTGGCCGAATGTCTGGTGACCTCGCCTTCGACACAGGAACTGTGTGTAGTAGCACGCTGTAGAACACTGTAAATAACTTCAGGTTCAAAGCGCATTGTGTGAATCAAGTGTAACTGGAGTCATATTCTAATAAATCTCTTACTGTTCAGACTGTTAAATGTGCAACGGCCTATTTCTTTGCATGTGTTTCTCAGTATCATGATTCGATTTTCATAGTTTTCTATCCTATTCCTCTGGATGTGTTTCTCAGACTATGACAGGTGTCTAAATATGGAAAGTCTAATGATGGTGTTTTCCGGGGAATGTTGAGGTGACTATATCTATAAATATCTCGAAGTATTTAAGGTGTTCCATCAAACACTCGTCATGTTACTATTTTTGCGATTAAACTTGCATTTGTAGGCTCTGTTCTGAAATCTGGTGAGCTGCAGCATTTCAAGGTATCATAAATGCGTTTCTGACATGAAGATATAGGTATACAGCAAGGTATACAGCACTGGATGCATATGTTGTGGAGAAGGCAATACCATAATGCATTGTTTCATAAAAGCTGCTGCAAAAATGGTTTCTTTTTAAATATACTATCATTTGATTTTTTTTTCTCCTGAAAGAAATTAATCATTTTATTCAGCAAGAAAAGTAACAGTAAACACTTTTACATTGTTATAAAAAATAATTTTTCAAATATATATATATATTTTTTGTTACTTTTCATATCAAATGAAACCTGAAACCAATATATTAGCACAACTGTTTCAACATTTATAATAATAAGAAATGTTTCTTGAGCACCAAATCCGCATATTAGAATGATTTCTGAAGGATCATGTGACACTGAAGACTGGAGTAATGATGCTGAAAATTCAGCTTTGATCACAGCAATAAATTACATTTTACAATATATTCACATAGAAAATGGTCATTTGAAACTGTAATGATTTTTCACAATATTACTGATTTTACTGTATTTTTTAGCAAACAAAAACAGTCTGTCAGCATAGGTTTTTTTTTTTTTTTCAAAATCATGGGATAAAAAAAAGAAAACAGCCCCAGATTCATTCCAAAGCCAAAAATTATTGATTGACTTACATTAAATTACTGTTTTAAATACTGGTAAGATTTTAGAAAAGCTTCATTATCGACAACCATGTAAGTTAATATATTTAATGAATGTCACATATTTTAGTTCATATAATGCACTGAAAAAAAATGATTAATTGAATTTACTACATTTTTTAAGGTAAGTGGTTGCAATCAATTTATTTTAGCTACATTTAAATAAATTTAGTTGACTAACTTTCAACATTTTTTTTTAAATGTTGCTAAAATAAAATGGTTTGCAACCACTTACCTTAAAAAATGTTTAAACATTTTTTTTCAGTGTGTGTACTGATGAATCATCTACAATAAGATGGGGGGCATGTAATAGGAAAGTAAATTGGGACATTTTTGATGTCACGTTGACTTTATGTACAGTATGATATGACCGTGCAGCTGCTCTCCGTTTCTGTCGGTGTGAGATGTACCTCGTGCTGGATTCTGGCCCGCTGAGTGGAGCTTATATGAAATCTGGCACAGGTTGGTGTATAGAGCTGGCACTGGCCTGGCACTGGGGACATTATCAAGAGCAGATCTAAACTAGACTACCAGAACCCGCTGAGACCAGAAAACACTTTTCAGAGGGACTCTGTAATGAGGGACACGTATGAGAAGATATGAGAGTGAATTTTAAGGACATTGATTGCCACAAAGTACAGGAAGTTCTGTGAGTTCTGTTTATTAGTGATGGGCGATGATGCTATTTATTTACTCTGTGATTTCAACTTCAATTTTAAGGTCAGTATAACCGAGACCAATGTAATACTTGTAGGCTATTAAAGCTACTGTATGTAGTTTTGCGTATTTTTTTTTACTCTGGAGCCCCCTACAGTTAAGTTAGTGGAATTCACTGTTGTAAATAAATCACTGTCGTAATTACAGCGGATAGCTGTAAAACGCATAGATATGTATTGCTAGATTCCCTGTTAGCGGGTGTTTTCCATACCTAAAATACATATTTTACAGTCACCTCTATGTAGATTGATCATGAACACAGTTAAGGCTTCCTACCAGTGTGGCCGTC